GGGGCAGCCGCACAGCCGTGCCCCTCGTCTTTTACCTTGGCGTTGGCTGAGTTGGGGGATATATATATATATATATAAAATTTTTTTTTTTTTTACTTTTTTGGTGTGTTTTGGTGTTAAACACCTGTACGGAAGAGGGCAAAATCAGCAGGATGGCTGTTGCTACACAAACTGCCCGGACGTTGTTCCCATTCTGAGCCCGACTTACTTGTCATCCTTACAAAGCCTTATGCGTGTTTTGGTCGTATTTAGTGGATTTCATGATACCTCATTCAGAAATAAAATCGGTCAGTCCGAGAAATTACTCTTTTTTATTGTTGTTGCTGTTGTTGTTTAAATCCACTAGAAAAGTATGGATGTGACCGGTTCATTTCGGGCGGGCTGGTGTAATTCTTGCATTAGTTAACCAATTACCTCCACAGACAGAGCAGGGGGCTGTAACGGGCACGCTGCAATGGGATGTACGTGTGTAAAACGTGGCAAAAGTATTCTGAAATGTTGTATTTATTCCTGCCTAGCATGTTTTACGGCAGGGCAATGAAGGAATACTGCAGTGAGACCGTATCCTTCTCATTTAGCTCTGGTTTTATTTGTAAGATTTCCATCACACCCACTTGACCAGCTGAATATTTTTTGTCATGCTGACACCTCAAATTAAGCCGAACCTGCATTTCCCCCAGATATGAGAGCTCTGTTTGTGTAGGATGTGGCACAAATGATGTGCAATGTTTATAGCTGGCAGCATATGCCTATCAATGCCCTCAATATGTTGACGATAGCTCACATGTATGAAAATGACTGACAGACCAGAGCAGGTAACAGCGAGAGCTCTGTGCCTGCAGCCAGGAGCCCTGTTAGATGCCACCATTGGACCCGGGAGGGACCTCACTGATACCTGACGGAGCGGGAGGTACACCTCCAGCCCCACATCTGGCTGCCGTGGTGGATTCCCAGTCCGACCGACACCCTCGAGTAGTCCGAGACGTTGAACGCGTACTGAAACGTGTTTATGCTGTGATTGTTTGAAGCTGTTTCTCCCCGAAGACTCTGGCTGTAGTCCCTGTGCAGGTACTACCAGCATGGGGAACAGCGTGGCTGGCTGTGCAGGTTTTGGCACCTGCACAGCGTTTTTAACAGCATTTACATTTTTAATGTTTTCATAGGAAGCTGCCAGGAGGGGCTTTTCAGTTCTCACAGTCTGCAGCGGCGTGCGTGCATTTAGGCTCTCACTAACACTACTCATGCGGGGAGTGAGGATTTGGGGCAAGGCTCCTACTTGTGCAGGTCTCGCTGGCTCTTCAGCAGGGCTTTTTCTTGCTTATTCTGGGTGACAAATTGGCACTGGCTCAGTGATGCAACACTTGAGGCTCCTTATCTCCGTGCTCTGTATCTGGCTGTCGCCAAGCTATCTGATCTT